TTACTCCTGGTTCACTCGGTGTTTCCTCAGTGTTTACTCCTGGTTTACTCGGTGTCTCCTCAGTGTTTACTCCTGGTTTACTCGGTGTCTCCTCAGTGTTTACTCCTGGTTTATTCCATGTTTACTTGGTGTTTCCTCGCTGTTCACTCTCTGTTTCCTCAGTGTTTCCTCGCTGTTTACTCCTGGTTTACTTGGGGTTCACTCGCTGTTCACTCGCTGTTTGCTCAGTGTTTCCTCCATGTTTACTCCCTGTTTACTCCATGTTTACTCCGTGCTTACTCCATGTTTACTCCCTGTTTACTCCGTGTTTACTCCGTGCTTACTCCCTGTTTACTCCGTGCTTACTCCATGTTTACTCCGTGTTTACTCCATGTTTACTCCATGCTTACTCTGTGCTTACTCCGTGTTTACTCCATGTTTACTCCGTGTTTACTCCCGGTTTACTCCATGTTTACTCCGTGTTTACTCCGTGTTTACTCCGTGTTTACTCCTGGTTTACTCCCTGTGTACTCCATGTTTACTCCGTGTTTACTCCATGTTTACTCCATGTTTACTCCCTGTTTACTCCCTGTTCACTCCCTGTTTCCTCCATGTTTACTCCCAGTTTACTCCGTGTTTACTCCCTGTGTACTCCATGTTTACTCCGTGTTTACTCCATGTTTACTCCATGTTTACTCCCTGTTTACTCCCTGTTCACTCCCTGTTTCCTCCATGTTTACTCCCAGTTTACTCCGTGTTTACTCCCTGTGTACTCCATGTTTACTCCGTGTTTACTCCATGTTTACTCCATGTTTACTCCCTGTTTACTCCCTGTTCACTCCCTGTTTCCTCCATGTTTACTCCCAGTTTACTCCGTGTTTACTCCCTGTGTACTCCATGTTTACTCCGTGTTTACTCCATGTTTACTCCATGTTTACTCCCTGTTTACTCCCTGTTCACTCCCTGTTTCCTCCATGTTTACTCCCAGTTTACTCCGTGTTTACTCCCGGTTTACTCCCGGTTTACTCCCGGTTTGCTCTCAGGCTGGGCCCGCGGCAGGAGCCGGCTCTGGAGGACGAGCGCGCCTTCGCCTTCACCAACGGCTCCTTGCGCCTGGGCCCGCTGGCCCGGGGGGACTCGGGGGGCTTCACCTGCCGCGCCCACAACGCCCACGGCAACGCCAGCGCCCACGCCCAGCTCCGAGTCTGGGGTCAGGGACCCCCAGAGACCCCCAAATCCACCCAGAGACCCCCAAATCCAGCCCCAAATCCATCCTGGGACCCCCAAATCCATCCCCAAATCCATCCTGGGACCCCCAAATCCATCCCCAAATCCATCCTGGGACCCCCAAATCCATCCCCAAATCCATCCTGGGACCCCCAAATCCATCCCCAAATCCACCCAGAGACCCCCAAATCCATCCCCAAATCCATCCCCAAACGCTTCCTGGGACCCCCCAAACCCTCCCCAAACCCTTTCTGGGGCCCCCCAAACCCTTCCTGGGACCCCCCAAACCCTCCTTGGGACCCCCCAAACCCTCCTTGGGACCCCCCAAACCCTCCTTGGGACCCCCCAAACCCTCCTTGGGACCCCCCAAACCCCTCACCCCCGTTTTTTGCCCCCCATCCCAGGGGCCACGCGGATCCAGGTGCCCCCCCAGAGCGTGAGGGCCAAGAAGGGCGAGACGGTGACGTTCACCTGCGGGGCCACCTTCGACCCCGGCCTGGAGCCCCGCGGGCTCCTGTGGCTGCGAGACGGGACCCCCGTGCTGGAGACCCCCGACAGCGACAAGTCAGGGCCCGGGGGGGCTTTGGGGGGGCTTGGGGGTCCTAGGAAGGGTTTGGGGGGGTTTGGGGAGGATCTGGGGGTCCCAGGAAGGGTTTGGGGAGGGTTTGGGGGTCCCAGGAAGGGTTTGGGGAGGATTTGGGGGTCCCAGGAAGGGTTTGGGGAGGATCTGGGGGTCCCAGGAAGGG